TGAAATTATTGTGTTCATGTGAAATTTTGAATGATGAAGTTTTGTTGCATCAGTATTTGAACAAGCTATTGTTAAGAATTTAGTGAATTGAAATTTTGAATGATGAAGTTTTGTCGCATCAGTGTATGTACAAGTTGTTGTTAAGCATTTAGTGAACTGGAATTTTGAATGTTGAAGTTTTGTTGCATCAGTGTTTGAACAAGCTGTTGTTAAGCATTTAGTGAACTGGATGGTCACGCTATCAGTATATGAATTTTATAATTAAAATTGTATGTATATGTGTATACTGTGAGCTTAGAATTTGTTGTATGTGGTGTGTATGATGATAAATGTAAGGCTTATGATTGTTTGTTGAGGTGGTAGAGTTTTTTTTTATATGATGTGAATATTTGAACTATTTAAAAATCCTGATACATTTCATTGTGTTAGCAATTCTTCACACATATGAATGTGATTGAATATTCAAATTATTTTATGTACTATTGATGATTTTGCAGTGTGATACATGACAAATGGATTTTTTCAAGTTGTTGTTGTGCTGCTATGGGTCAAACATGTTTGTGATAAATGTGGTACAATCATTTTCCTTTGACCAGTTAGTGAAATATGTGTGCAACAAATGGTGTGATTTGCTTGTTGATTCAATCACTATGTTTTACTGATTGTTGGGGCATAAGAATTGTCATTTGGATAACAATGAGGAATTGCAAAACATGTTATTGCTTAGTAAATCAATTGGAATTGAACGAATTGATGTTGTTGTTGACCAAAAATTGGGCACTAATAGACGTAGTAGTTTAGCAAATCCATGCATTGAAGATGAGGATCAAACAAATTTGCTTCGTTGATATTGTGCGCACAGTGAGAAGGTTTTGTTGTCTTCAGTTTGGGCAAATAGTATTACGCATGTTGGTCAATGTTTTACAAGAGGAACATTTGAGTTTCGTACTGTTTTATGCAAATATGCAGTGCAATGTTGGTTTAAATTCAAATATTTGAAGAACGATTTAGAACGAATTACTGTTGTTTGCTCACATAGAGATGATAGGGATGTTTGTGGTCTGTGTATGCTAGAGCCCAAAGAGCAAACCAATTTTTCTATCTTAAGAGATGGACTAAGATACCAATTTTTCAAAAAATCCAAGGCTCAACTTTGATTTGGTGTCAAATGTTGTATCTGAGCGTGTTAGGGACAGACCACTAACGCGCCCCACTAATGTGGCATATACTTTCAAGGCAGACTATGGACTTGATATCAACTACCATGCAGTATGGTTAGGTGTTGAGAAAGCGAGAGAGGCTATGCATGGTGATTACTTAACATCGTTTGACCAACCGAGATGGTACGGTGATGATGTTCAACATTATAATCCTGGAAGTCATATCAATATTGACTATGATTTGAAGACTAGTCAGTTTAAAAGGTTTTTTTGTAGCATTCGCTGCGTGTATAAATGGCTTCAAATATTGTCACCCTTTGCTTTTTCTTGATGGAACATTTCTAAAAGGGAGATACAAAGGGCAGTTGCTTGCAGCGACAACTAAAGACGATAACCAATGTTTGTTTAGCTTTTTGATGTGAAGTTTTACATTGTTTACTTTTTGTGTGTCAATTGTGACTATTAACATTGGTTTTGTTTTTAGGATTGTTTCCAGTAGCCTTTGCAATTGTTGATTCGAAGAGTGAATCGAATTGGTCATGGTTTCTATATGAATTGTCAAAAGTAATTACTGATGATAGATGCATGACATTTGTATCCGATCGTAATGTAGGGCTTTTGGAAACAATGCCAAAGACATTCCCATCAGCATATCGTGGATGGTGTTTACAACACCTACAGAATAATTTTAGGAACAAGTTGAAGGCATGTAGAATGGTTTCAAGGAACACTTTAATAAGGAGGTTGGGTGATTGTGCATATGAACCTACCGTGATAGGTTTTCATGCATTACTAGAAGAGTTGAAGAGTGAGGGGAAGCAACGAGCATATAACTTCTTGTCAGGGTTGGAACCTAAACATTGGGCACATGCTTACTTTAGGTAAAGTGTGCACAATTGTGTGTTTCATGGAATATAATGATGGTTATATGTACATTGTTTATATTTTTGTATTGTTGTAACAATGTGAAATGTCACATATCGTATTAAAATGTGACAATTTTGTTGTCATGTATTAGGGGACAGCGATATGGTGAGATGACATCTAATGCTGCTGAATCATTCAAAAACTGGATTAAAGAACCACGAAATCTTCCAATAACAAAATTGGTTAATACTGTCTAGAATCAAATAATGTGTCAAATGTCAGAGCGAAGGGGTATTGCAAACAAGTGGAATTGAATTATTTGTCCTACCTTTAAGACTAACCTCCAAGATTCGTTCAATACTAATAGGTCATGGAATGTGAGTAGAGCTAATGATGATGTGTTCGAGGTGCATTCGTTTCCATCAGTTACAGTTGATCTTGGACGCCGTGTTTGTTCTTATTACCAGTGGCAAGTAAATGGATTTCCTTGTGAACATGTTGTTGCAGCTATCCAAAGGAGTGCATATAATCTTAATGATTGTGTTGAGAAATATTTTCATGTAGAGAATTATAGGGAAGCATATGCAGCGGCTATTTTCCCAATACCATATGTAGAGAAACCAGCTTTTTCCTCTAGTGATTTCATTATATTACCTCCAATTCTAAAACGGCCAGCTGGTAGGCCGAGAAAGAGTAGAATATCATCTCGAGGGAAAAAAGTAAGTCAAATCAGGTGTGGCAGATATGGAAAGCTGGGCAGGCACAATCAAAAGTCGTGTAAAGAGCCAATACAGAGTTATATTGGTTGATGTGTTGGTGAACATTGTGAATTTCACATTCAATTTTGAACATTTACAATACCTTTTTTTTTGTTTTAGATAAATAAGATATCATTGTGAATGTTACATATATTTGCATTGGATACACATTTTATTAGTTGATTCATTGGTGTACTTGTTTTGCATTCATTCATTCTATGGAATTTGTCATTTTGTAGTTTTTTTTTTATTTTATTTTGTTTATTTATGAAATAGTTTGTTTATCAGTTTTATCAAATAAAATGTTATCTTGTTACATATATACACAATATGTGTTGATGGGTGGAATATGATATATGTTTTTGAACAGATTTGAGGTGTGGTGCTAAGAGTAGGACAATGATTTAAGTACTTGGATTATTGTTTTGTTAATGGATTTTATTAGTGGACTTGGTGGATAATTTCATATGATAAGAATAATCAATTTTTATGGATTTTAGTATTATGATAATTAAAGATTTAATTGGAGTATTTTACATTGTTGGTTATGTGTTGGACTCTTAGCCTTGCATGCTCACTTAAATGAGTGTGCAGCGTTGTCACGGAGCTTGGGGCGTGACAATTTTGTGGTATCGGAGCCAGGTTGTAATTTTAAAGGCTAGTATAGAATAGTGGTGAGATTGGGTAGATGTAGGATTGGGAACGCTTATAATTTGATATAATGTTAATTTTATTTACATGTTATAGGGACTTAAGAATAGAATAAGATGTGGTTTTATTATTGATGCATTTAGGTTGCAATGGAACATGAGGAGACATTGGAAAATATGGCTAGGAATACACGCCAAGGTCAAACGAATCAACGGACTGGTAATAACAATCGGCGAGGGAATGTGACTAATATTGGTAGTGGTTCTCAAGCAGTCAGAGAAAACTAGGAGCAAGAGTTGGGACAACAAGAACAAGCTGCAATCTCTAATCCAATTGGAATGGTTCAAGTGCTTCAGACTTTGGCCGGGGTGGTGCAACAACAAACCACCATAGGGAATAGCTTGACTAGACTTATGGAGCAACAACAACGGATGCAGCCAGGTGTTGGGCCACAACCGAGGCCACGTTGTAACATTACTGAGTTTAAAAAGATAGTCTTGGCATTTGACGGAGCCACAGACCCTTTGGAGGCTGAAAAATGGTTAACAGAAATGGAAAAATTGTTTCCTGTTTTTGAGTGTACAGACGATCATAAGGTGACCTATGCTACGTTTATGCTACAAGGGATAACTAACGATTGGTGGCAGATGGATAAACACATACATGAGCATGATGCCAACCCCTATACATAGGAAAGGTTTAAGAATGCATTCAATGAGAAATACTTCCCTAGGAGTGTTCGTCTACAAAAACAGAGGGAATTTTCGAAGTTAAAGCAAGGGAATAAGATGGTTGCATAATATGAAGCCGAGTTTACAAAGTTGTCTAAGTTTGCATCAACATTTGAAGCAGACGAGGATAGCAAACCACGAAAGTTCGAAGGTGGGCTTAGAACGAACATTATGCAACAAGTGGTTCCTTTCGAGTTACCTACTTTTGGAGTAGTGTTGAATAAGGCATTGTTGGTTGAGAGTGGCCTTAGTAGAGCCCAAGAAGAGAAAGAAGACAATTATAAGAACAACTTTCAAACTAACAATAGTTCGAAAGGCAATGCTAAGAGACAAAACACTTCTTCAGTTGGGAGTTGGGGAAGTCGAACTAAGGGTGGTAGTGTTGACAAGCAGAATGATTGGGTATAGTGCACTAGATGTAATGGATTCCATCGGGATAGTGAGTGTCGTTGGAATACTAGGGCTTGTTTCTCTTGCGGGCGATAGGGGCACAGAATAGCTGATTGCTCTAACCGAAAGGGGCATGAGACTGAACAAAAAGCATGGACAAATAAAGGAACATCAACAGACAGAGAGTTTTTAGGAAATCAAAAGAAAAATGGGGGTCATAAGCCAAAGACTCAGGTTGAGTGTACGTACTCACGCAACAAGATGTTCAGACTTCCAACACGGTGGTGTCAGGTACTGTTTTAGTGTCTTCTGTTTATGCACATGTGTTATTTGATTCTGGCACTACAAATTCATTTGTGTCTATGGGATTTGTTGAGAAACATGGATGGAAATGTGTCTATTAAGAGATCGACTTATGTGTTGAAACCCCGGTAGGAGGTGTTATGGTTGCTGACTTAATTTGCAAACCTCGTGTGGTTAGTATAAATGACAGGAAATTGCTTGTAGACTTAACTGTTTTAGATATGCGGAACTTTGACATAATTCTTGGAATGGATTGGTTGGCAAGCAATTATGCTTCGGTTGATTGTCGAGGCAAAAGGGTAGTATTTCAGATTTCTAATCAACTAGAATTTTGTTTTGTTGGTAGTGGAGTTAACACTCATCTTCTGGTAATCTCAGCTTTGCAAGCTAGACGGTTGTTAAGGAATGGTTGCGAGGGTTATTTAGCTTCTGTGAGAGATACTCGTGAGACTGAATTGAAGTTAGAGGATATTCTAGTTGTGAAGGAATTTTCCAATGTTTTTCCTGAAGAGTTACCGGGGTTGCCACTAGATAGAGAGATTGAGTTTGCCATTGAATTGATACCCGGCATGGGTCCTATCTCCAAGGCTCCGTATTGGATGGCCCCAGCAGAGTTGAAAGAGTTGAAGGAACAATTACAAGAGTTACTAGATAAGAGCTTTATTCGGCCTAGTGTTTCTCCTTGGGGTGCGCCTGTTTTATTTGTGAAAAAGAATGATGGTAGTTTTCTCCTTTGCATTGATTATCGAGAGTTGAACAAGGTGACAATTCGAAATAAATATCCTTTGCCTAGGATAGATGACTTATTTGATCAGTTGCAAGGAGCACAAGGCTTTTCTAAGATTGACCTTCGTTCTGGCTATCACTAGTTGAAGGTTAAGGCGGAAGATATACCTAAGACAACCTTCCGAACTAGGTATGGGCATTATGAATTTTTAGTGATGCCGTTTGGGTTGACCAATGCGCCTGCAGTTTTTTATGGATTTAATGAATAGAGTATTTAAACCCTACTTAGATCAGTTTGTGGTAGTTTTTATTGATTACATTCTTGTGTACTCGAAGAGTAAAGAGTAGCACGAAGAACATCTGAGAATAGTGTTACAGATATTAAGGGAGAATAAATTATTTGCTAAATTAAAGAAGTGTGAATTTTGGCTGGAGAGTGTATCATTTTTGGGTCATGTGATATCTAAAGATGGGGTGTCTGTTGACCCCAAGAAAGTGGAGGCTGTGGTAGAGTGGAATAGGCCTACTAGTGTCACTGAAATTCGTAGCTTCTTGGGTTTAGCAGGATATTATAGAAGGTTCGTTGAGGGATTTTCCCGAATTTCTATGCCTTTGTTTAACACAAAAAAGGGGTTAAATTTGAATGGTCTGGATGTTGTGAGAAGAGTTTCCAGATCTAAAGAGCCGATTGGTGTCTGCTCCAGTACTTATAGTTCAGATGAAGGTTTTACCATCTATAGTGATGCATTGAAGATGGGCTTGGGTTGTGTCCTGATGCAGAATGATAAGGTAGTGGCATATGCATCTAGGCAGTTGAAGCCATATGAGCAGAATTATCCTACGCATGATTTGGAGTTGGCTGCCGTGGTGTTTGTATTGAAAATCTGGAGGCACTACCTGTATGGGGTAAAATGTGAGATATTCATTGATCATAAAAGTTTGAAGTATATTTTTACTCAAAAAGAATTGAATATGAGGCAAAGGCGATGGTTGGAGCTATTAAAGGACTATGATTTGACTATCAATTATCATCCAGGAAAAGCCAATGCAATGGCGGATGCCTTGAGTAGAAAGACCCCAAGTAATTTGGCTACCTTGATCACTGACCAAAAGAATATCTTAGAGGACTTGTGAAGGTTGAATATTGAGATTAGATGGCACAACCATGGAGTGCAGTTGGCAAACCTTAGGGTTCAACCCACGTTGATTGATAGAATTAAAGATACTCAAGGAAGAGATCCTCAGTTGCAAAAACTTAAGGTTGAAATGGAAATAGGGCTTCAAATGGAATTTTGTATGCATAAAGATGGAACCTTGAGATTTGGAGAGAGGTTGTGTGTGCCTAATGATTCAGAGCTCAAGAGAGAAATCCTGAGAGAAGCTCACAGTTCAAGATATACTGTACATCCAGGGAGCACTAAAATGCATAAAGACTTGAAGAGGAACTTTTGGTGGAATAATATGAAGAGGGAAATTGCTCAGTATGTTGCTCAATGTTTGGTATGTCAACAAGTGAAAGTTCAACATCAGATACCTACAGGTAAGTTACAACCTCTTCCTATTCCCGAGTGCAAGTGGGAACATATTACCATGGATTTTGTGACAGGGTTGACTAGGACCCAAGGTGGTAACAATGCTATTTGGGTTATCGTTAATCGATTGACCAAATCCACTCACTTTGTAGCTTTTAAAGTAGGGTTCTCCTTAGAAAGGTTCGCAAAATTATATATCAAGGAGATTGTGAAGTTACATGGTATTCCGGTGACCATAGTGTTTGATAGAGATAGCAGATTTGTATCTATGTTTTGGAGGAGTTTGCATACAGCTTTGGGTACTAGTTTGAATTTTAGCACGGCCTTTCATCCTCAAATTGATGGACAGTTAGAGAGAACTATTCAGACTCTTGAAGACATGTTGAGGGCTTGTGTTATTGATCTTGGAGGTTCTTGGGATAAGCATTTGGCCTTAGTGGAATTCTCTTATAATAACAGTTATCATGCGAGCATTCATATGGCACCATATTAGGCTTTATATGGACGGAAGTGTAGATCACGTATTTGTTGGGATGATGTAGGCGAAAGGAAGCTGTTAGGGCCTGAGATTGTGCAACAAACAGTTGACAAGATCAATCTTATTAGAGAGCGAATTCGCATTGCACTGAGTAGACAGAAAAGTTATGCAGATAATAGGAGACGCGATTTGGTGTTTGGGGTTGGAGACCAGGTGTTCCTTAAGGTGTCTCCTATGAAAGGAGTAATGAGGTTTTGGTGTTCGGGGTCAATTGAGTCCTAGATTTGTTGGACCATTTGAGGTTTTAGATCGAGTTGGAGAGGTAGCTTACAGACTTGCCCTATCATCTTCACTAGCTGGAGTTCATAATGTTTTTCATGTCTCAATGTTAAGGAAGTATATACCGGATCCTAGTCATGTGATTGATCATACACTGTTGCAGTTTAAGGAAAATTTGATCTATGAGGAACACCCTATATGAATTGTTGATAGGAAGGAACAGGTTTTGAGGCGTCGAGTCATCCACTATGTTAAGGTTCAATGGAGCAATCACTCAGAAAGAGAAGCAACTTGGGAACTCGAGGATGAAATGAAACTAAAGTATCCACAACTTTTTGAGACTCCAGGTATGTCAAATTTCGAGGACGAAATTTCTTTTAAGGGGGGAAGAATGTAAAACCCAAGTTATTTATAGAATTATTTTGGATAGATTAATAATTAAAATAAATTTGTGGGTAATTTAGTAATCTTAAGAATTAGGTTTTCAACTCTTTAAAAAAAAAAAAGGAAAGAAGGGAAAAGGTTTTATATTATTTTGCTATCAATTGTGCTGAGGATTGGCTGGAAGTGGCGGTGGGAAATTGAGGGGAGCATTCTTGATGCTCATTGATCAAGGTACTTTTCTTTTACACTATTGTTTATTATATGTAATAGATCAATAGGCAGAGAAAAGGGATGGAAAAGAAATCCTGTGGGGACGCATAATGGATGTAAGGTTCAACATGTATAGTGCTTCGTGTAGGTTGATGATGAGAGTGCTTGTGTGGGTGTAGTTTTGACAATAGAGTTGGGTAGTTTAGATAAGGTGTGTTTGGCTATTAATTTGGAGAAATGATTTGGAATTTCTTGAGCTTTTCATACATATATAGTGGGTTTTGTGGATGTGTGAAAGACACAAAAATATTAATTTATTTGAGGTTCTAATTATTAGGTTTGTGTGATTAAAGTGGTGAAGCTGAGTGTTTGGAGCTGGTGTTGGAATATTATTTTAGCTGTTTGAGGTAAGTAACCCTCTATCACTGTTGGTTTATTTTTATTTATATCGAATCGTTTAAAATCATAAATATTTATTTATAGCCTGGGTCAAGTATAAAACAATATCGAATATTATTATAAAAATTATTTGAATATTTGGTGAAACTATTCTGAAAATTGTACTAAACGTTTATTCTGAAAATATCGAATGTTTTATTTAAAAGTTGTGTATTGTTTGAATTTTGAACATCACTCTAATCTGACTATGATTTGGACCCTAGCCAATGGGGGTTATTTATTGGCACAGAAACTAGTTTCTTTTGGGGCTTTACCACCGGCCTATGTGTGGTTCTGGGCCTTGTCACGAGCTAAGTGACCGTAGTCATTAAGACTTGGGTTTTGTGAATCAAATCATTGAACCATCTGAATATCGAACCATCGATTTGAACAACGAATTACTTTGAATTATCTTGTTGGCTTTTCATTTAAAATGTATTGTACATTGTTTATTTTTAGCTATGAAACCATCTTACAAATAATTGTTCATTTATTGAACTGTAGAAAAAATTATATTTGTTGGTTATCGATTTATTTATTTATTTATTGTATACTTGATCCAGCTAACAGTGATGGTTGGTTATTTACTGGGCTGTCTAGCTTACCCTTATTTTTTTTCAGATTCTGAAGAGTAGAGCTGCGCGGGATTTTTACATGTGGGAGTGTCGAGAGTAGGACTATGATTTAAGTACTTGGATTATTGTTTTGTTAATGGATTTTATTAGTGGACTTGGTGGATAATTTCATATGATAAGAATAATTAATTTTTATGGATTTTAGCATTATGATAATTAAGGATTTAATTGGAGTATTTTACATTGTTGGTTATGTGTTGGACTCTTAGCCTTGCATGCTCACTTAAATGAGTGTCACGGAGCTTGGGGCGTGACAGTGGCAGATGTAGAAAGATGGGCAGCCATAATTAAAGTTGTGTAAAGATCAAATGTAGAGTTCTATTGGTTCATGTATTGGATATCGTTGTGAATATTATGTTGACTTGTGAATATTTATAGTGCACAACTTGTTTTAGATAAATAACATACTGTTGTGAATGTTGCATACATTTGCATTAGTAAACAATTTAGTAGTTTATGTGTGGATGTACTTGTTGGTGCAAGCTTTTTAATGTAAATTTTCACATTTTATACAATTTGTCAATAAAAATGTGATTTGTTCTATGAAATTTGTAATTTTGTAGTTTCTTTACATTTTCTTTGTTTTATTGAAATAGTTTGTTTTGATTTTTTACAAAATAAAATGTAGAAAAGTTACATATATCCCCAATATGTGTTGGCAGGGTGAACATATGATATACATATGTGAACTTTCACATTATGTTGTACTTAACAAACACATATTATGACTAATAACACTCATACACCATGAATAAGACCAAGAAAGAACATTTCATATTAAAAGTAAATTTCTTGGTAAACAAAATGTATATAGCTATTCATATCAATAGCTTTGTGAAATCATTGTTTACTAACTAACAATACCCAAGTTCACATGTTAGTGACTGGTATATCATATACAAAACATATTGTACTTAGACAAAACCTGATGTTAACATTGTGTTATCAATACATCAAAAGAAAATGGTAGGGTGTGAAAATATGAAGTTTAGTTCTTAGATGCATCCTCCTTGGTGTCAATAACAAAACTTGCATGATTTGTTCTTTCAGGATCATTCAGGAATGCTTCAACTAACACAGCTCTCATAGCAAACCAAGCTTTCTTGTCTAGCACAGGTTCAATCGGTTCATGAAGGGCATGTTGCCTCATTATGTAGCAAAGTGCAACTCCGCAATTAAGACTACAGGAGAAAAAAAAAGAAAAAAAAGAGAAAAGAAAAGAAAAGAAGAATCAATACTTTCTTATATTCACATTGGTTGTAGCTACTATGTCAATGAGAATATTAATTGTAAATACTCACGAATTTGGATCTTGTTGAGGGCATGCATCAACTGATTGCAATGGCTTGAAAAAGTCTGAGGGTGTTAATGTATCTGCCATATCCAATGTGGAGAGCAATTTCTGAATATGTGATTCGATATATGTTTTTTGTGATTGTGAATATGATTAAATGTGCAGAATAGATAATATTTTAACTACGTTGTTGTGTAACTCAACATGTACATTTTTTCATATTATAGAATAAAATATTGAAATTACCACTATACTTGCTTGAGCTAGGTGTATGTCTTCAAAACCATCTCCGGGCCTCATTGAATTGTAGTGCTTTCACACTTCATCATCCATGTCACTCACTACTATGGTCCAATGATACTTAAAGTGCAGTGGAAAGTGCAGATATCAGTACTGATTTGCATGCTTGATGTGAGGATCAATGAATTTGGTTTGTAGTTCTGCGTTTTCATGTTTAATCATGCTCTGTAAACAGTAATAGCACTTTATGAGTATTGAGTTTTATAAACAAGGGATCAAACTTGTTTTTAATTCAGGATAAAATAAAATAAACTAAAATAACAAATTATACCAAACACAAGCTATTGAAAAAGAATGATTTGTCAAATTGTTGTGAATCTGTCATCATTGATTCCTGCTTGTTTCTTAAAATTTCTGCATATGCATCTATGTCCTATATATATTGAATGTTAATGTGATTATGATGTGAATGTTAATATATATAACCTTGAATGCATAATGTACAAAGCACCATACATTGTTTGTTATGGAATTGTCTTGAGTTATTTACTCAAGATCATCATAGAAAACATATGTCTCCTTGGTGGTTTCTTGCCAAACAGTTAACCTACATTTAGAATTTAGATATTGTCACACCCCAAATCCGGGCATGGCCGGCCATGGCCCACAGGGACTTAGCCCAAGGCACACGTAAGCCTAAACATGAACCCAAAACCACAAAGAATAAATGTGATGGTAGCCCAGAAATAAATAAATCAAAACTCAATCCAGTGACATGCCACAAGTGCTGGCTTCGTAAAAATATATATATACTAAATGGGACACAAACCGCCCACAACATAAAATAATTCTAAATAAAACTCAACCACAATGTATGCACGAAATTCGACAAGCAACCTAAAACAAATTAAATAAATGCCCTAGAGGTCCATCCAAGTGAGTCCCCGTTACGCCATGAGTCCACTTTAAGTCCTTCTAACACCTGGAAATGGTAAACAACTAAGTCAGCTGATAGCTCAGTGAGTAGCAACATGGATAGTAAATACAGTTTTGAAAACAGGGTTCAATTCCAAAATAAAATATATATCACAGAAACTAGATTGGCATACAGTTTGGTAAATACAATCTGTTTCAAAAAGAAGGTTCCACAGTTCAACACTTAAAATACTCATGCCTCGCAAGAACATGATAAACGACATTTTCCACTTAAAACAGATTATAACATGACATTAACACCAATAATTTTCTGGGTACCAATAAAAACAAATAATCTGCCACACATTTCTCAGGCTATAAGCCCCGTTGGATCCAATACCGAACTAAGAGTCATCCTCAGGGTGGCACCTGGGCCTTTTCTCAAAGACGATCCGATTGAAGGTCACCTAGTTGTTTTTAAAGGTCTTTTCCTTACAATCGTTGAGCACTAGAGTCATCACGGCCCAACCCGGATCTGTTCCCTAGTTGCCAAAGTCACCACACACAGTGGAATAATTTCCCTGGACTAAATACACACATGGTCCCAATAATCAATACACATCAGTTTTCGCAAAACATGGTGGTTCATCATTATAAACATGAGGCCAAAACAAATAGTTTACAGTATGCCAAGTTCACACATGTTTCAGAAATAATTTGATTCAATTGATAATATAATAATTTACCAAAACAGTTTAGTCTTGAAACAACAATTTAATTTTCCAACAGTTCAGGGTAGGGGAACATTTATAAAAATACGTAGCATGAAACTACTCACCTGAAATCGAAATAATATAATCCTCGAATAGAGTGTAAAAGTCCAACTAATGCCCTGAACCAAGTATAAAAACTACACGTCACAACTAATTTAAAAATACTAAAAAGAATAGGAACTAAGTAACATCAATTAAAGCGCACTAACACGGCTCAACTCAACTCACTGTTACTCTTAAATATTACCTAAGTTCATGTTCTTCAAGGTCTAAAATCACCCAAGACATAGGTTCCGATCGAAACTTAACTAAAAATAACTTTAAGATAAAACAATGTTTTAAACTAGTTTTCCCAAACTATTTGCTAACTTTGAAAATTTCAAAATCCACTCCACGCTATTCGAAAATTTTCAAAAATCTCCAGATATCAACTAATATATCCTAAGTTTCAAACCCAATTGGTTTCACTTGATTTGCTTATCAAAATAATTATCTACAATTTATTATATCCAAACAGGGTTGTTTTCTGCAGCACTTTAAAGAAATTGACGGTTCTCTTAATATACACGAGCAATCAATACAAGGCCAAATACGTACGAAACTAGACTCGTAACCGGTTCTAATGACACTAATTTGATAATTTTTGGATTTATACCCAAAGAGAACAACACTCCCGAATTTACTGTTTCGGACTGGTTTCCTGGACAGATTTAAATACCTCAATTTATATGGATTTTGACTCCCAAAAATTATGAAAAAAATCAGATATACAATTCAGTATGTAATTAATCTACTGTAAAAATTTCAGATTAAAATTCATTCGTTTGATATGATTTCTTGATTTTTAAAGTTTGCTGGAAGATTAATATTCTTAGGAGCGACATTATGAATTCGATTAAAATTTCTAGAATACTCTCCCCATCAGCCAATCCATTCCTTTTTCTTC